CAGCACATAAGTCTTCAGTAGCCATTGCTTAGTAGCGGCTTCCAACGGCGGACGTTTCCCTTCTCCTAGGTTCCCGAACTGTTCCTGGCCTCAGCTACCAGCGTTTCACATCCCACAGCTGCTCAACTCTCAACTAGCTCAACCACAACTCAAGTCAAAGTCAAAGTCACATTGCGACTGACGGTCAGTCAGTCAGCCAGCAAGTCTTTGTGTCGAGCCCCATCTGGGCCTTATGACCAGATATTTATTAATGTTTGACAGTTACTGTCTTGTTTTTCTGTGGCACCCTGTCTGACGAGAGGACGGGTCTGTCTTGTATATACTGCTGGCCCTTGCCAGCGCAGTCTTTCTCGGGTCCGACTTCTTGGAACTCGCGACCACATTTTACTGTCTCAGATTTGAGACTTCCCTTTTTGTCGCCTCCTACGACTCGCAAGGTCACGGTGGAGGTATTCGACCCCGCCTCCACACGGGGTCAACCACATGTCCAAGTCTCTTCAGTTATTGCGTGTTCTCTTGTTGCCGGGGCACCAACGTGTCCACACAGCTGTTCCCTAGTAACTGCTGTTGTACTGTCGCCTGTTTACACGTTTGTTACTTGGCAGTGGGTCGATATTTCACGTTGTGTACAAATGTAACTGTAAATGTTGCTTTATATATATATATTTGTGTGTGTGTGTGCAAAACTTGGTCTCTGCTAAGGGAAGGTCGGTGGTGTTTGCGAACGGAAGTTCGGGGGGTAATATTTGGACCTGAGAGGGTTGAAGTAACAGGGAGATATATAAATTATGCTGCATAATGTGGAGCCTAGTGATTTGTATCCATAAAATATTATTTAAATAATGAAATCAAGGAGAAACAGGTGGACAGAGCATGTAGCACGCATATTATAATGGGAAATTCAAACAAAATTTTAGTCGAAAAACGTTAAGGGAAGAGACCACTCCGGGGATGTATACATGATGGGATAATAATATTAAAATATTATAATATTATAATGTGAAATTCAAACAAAATTTTAGTCGAAAAACGTTAAGGGAAGAGACCACTCCGGGGATGTATACATGATGGGATAATAATATTAAAATGATTCTTTAAGAAACAATGTGTGGTCAGGTTTCAGCTGCTCCAGATTATGGTCCAGTTGCTTTTTTTCTTTTAACGCAGTGATGGACGTTCGGGCTGTATAATTGTGTGGAATTTGTTGACCAGCAGAGCGACTGTCAGATTCTAGATGACGCTGGTTGAGGTGCATAGTTTCTGTTTCTTGTTTTGAAGGGACGAAGGAAACGAAGAATAGTTCTTTGGGCTCCATATTGGTTACCCCCACCAAGCGTTCCGACGTTTCGTGGCGTCACGCACCGACCGTAATGGCGTCTCCGTGCACCTCAAGCTGCTCAGGACTTTCTCCAAAGAAATGTAGTTTGGGTTGTTTCTACTGCCCATGTTTGAAAGTTGTAGTAATACTTTCACCTAGCCAAACGCACCACAATGTCTACTGGATTAAGTGCCACCCATTGTTCTCCCTAATTACCGTAACACTAATCACCATAACACTAAAACAATACCTTCGTTTATAGGAATGATATTTGTCAACAAAGGTACATTGTTCAATTCTACAGAATGAGTTTCCGCCGGATCGCTGACTGGCAACATTTATTCATCTTGGATTTGAAGAAATTTGGCAACAGTGAAGTTCCAGACCTTTGATCTCATATGATTTGAGGTAAAACTGTATAATGAGAAGCTTCATAACTTGTACTCTTCGCCAAGTGTAATTAGAATGATCAAGTCTAGGATGAAGCGATGGGCAGGGCATGTAACACGAATGGGGAGAAGATGAATGCGTATAGGATTTTGAAGAGAACGTCAGAAGGAAAGGACCACTAGGAAGACAAAGACGTAGGTGAGTTGATAATATTCAAATGGATCTTAGAGGGATAGGATTCATCAGCCCAGGAGAGGGACAAGTGGAGGGCTCTTGTGAACACAGTAATGAGCCTTTGGATTCGATAAAATATTGGGAAGTTCTTGAGTGGCTGTACAACTAGCAGCTTCTCAAGAAGAGATCTCCATGGAGTTAAGATTTGAGGTTCTTGCAGTGGTGGTTATGAACAGCACTGTTTTCTGGTATATTGCGCCTTGCAGACCGTTGAAAGTCAACCGACGTTTCGGAGGAGTACATCTCCATCTTAATAGACCCTGAAGATTGGTACGATACATGCCTCCGAAACGTCGGTTGACTTCCAACGTGCTACGTGGCGTTATATACCCCAGAAAATAGCATACTCTTCTGTCTTCTTGTCAATTTATAAAAATGTAAAGACTACAATACACAGAACATTAATTCTACCAGTGGTTTTGTACGGATGTGAACTTAGCCTCACACATTAAAGGAAGCACTGAGACTGAGGGTGTGTGAGAACAGGGTGCCGAGGAAAATGATATGGCCGAAGTGGCACAAAATAACAGGACACTGCAGAAAACTGCATAATGAGGAGCTTCATAACCTGTATTCCTCGCCGAATATTATTAGAATGACCAAGTCAAGGAGAGTGAGATGGACTTGGCATGTAGCATGCACCAAACAGCCGTGATTACTGAGTTGTAAGAAAGTTTGGGAAAAAAAAAAGACCTAGACGTAATGTGATGGTAATATTAAGGTGGAGAGATAAGTATTACGGATGCATTTTCGCATTAAATTCTGCTGAAGCCAGTCAATATATGATGATAATATTCAAATGGCTGGATTTTTTTATTGCTAGTGGTGTGGGACTAACTTGTAGTGCGGCCACTTCGGGCGTATTGTACCAGCCCCAGATGATAGGTGAGGGTGATTGTGGAGCAATTGGTGGAATGAAGATTGGTAGGGGAAACCGAAGTACTCTGAGAAAACCTGCCCCAGCGCCACTTTGTCCACCACAAATCCCACTTGACCAGACCCCGGGCCGCCGCGGTGGGAAGCGAGCGACTAACCGCTTGAGCTATGGCGCGGCCACCAAAAATGGCCTGTTAAGCAGACGTTTACATATGCAAGCTGCGACTGGCTGTTCTCTTATAGTTCACCGTCGTAAAGCACTCTGACTTTGAATGTCAATATTCTCTAAAGCGGAGATCTGTGGATAACTGCTGAATAATGTCTGAGTGCTAATGTAACATTCCCTTTTATAATTGTGTGGGCGCCTCTGAAGAAGACCATAAATGGCCGAAACATGTTGGGCATTATGATCATTTACTGGTTACAACAAAATTGGTTGCACTTGACGGTACTTCTTTAATTTAAAGACAAATTCGGTTCAATTATAATTCTGTTCACTCTGCAGATGCGTGTTTGCAGTTGCATCACCGAGCTGATTGTGTACTTAAAATATACAGCTGCTCGCAACCCATGCGACAAGTAATTAATCTGTATTTATTTACGGTTTATTGATGCTGTCAGTTTCGCATTCTGTTTACCATCTAATGGATGTATGGCAGTTGCATAATGAATTTGAAAGGATTTGGAAGGAAATGATCACTGCTAGATTGGAGGTAGCTTTCGCCATTTGCCTGGAAGGGGTAAATAAAATCACGAAAAATATCAGAACGTCCGGTGACAGGGCCAAATCCGATCACAGCGCCTGCGCGGAATACAGGAAAGAAGCGTTACCGCTTAGCCAGTCTTGCCATCAGATGTGCGCACGCACTTCCGCTGCCAGAGCTCGGAGCTTGTCCCACGTGAGTCCTATCGCCCCCTCTTGGCAGGCCAGAGGTTTCAGCGCCAAGACTTTGACGTAACGCCGTTTTGTATGCCGTCTTTTTCCGTCTTATCTGACCTCACGAATTGACAGCACTGACCCAGGGAACAGCACGGCGTTTGGTAAAATAATGGGGTCTCGCGAATGGTACACAATTTGTGGTTCCTCGTGCAGCCAGGCCCCAGTACGCGTTGTGGGGGACCCACAGCTGCTCTGGGCGACATGACAAAGAGGAAAAGTCCTGCCTCTCCTAGGAACCGAATCGCAGTGACCGGATTACGCGGCCAAGTACGTAGCACTGTTGATTAATAATGGGAAGTCGTGGGTTCGAGTGTCGGCCCAGACACTACTTCTCAGACATTTTTGTGGTTTTCCTTGGTCCGAATAAATGTTATTAGAATACCGCAAATTAGGCCGTGACGAACTCTTTCCAGGGCCCGGATTTTGATGACGTGAAAGGATTTAAAAATGGCCTATAAAATGACCGAAAAAATCCAGAAAAATGACCCAAAGGAGAAAGAAAGAACACTTCACTTCCATATTGTTCACATTTCAGAAAACATATGAAGAGAAATTCCCTAAAATGGCCAAAAATGACAAGAAATACCCTTAAAAGTCCAAAAAATTACCCCCAAAATGAAAAAATGACATTAAACCTAAAAATGCCAAAAGAAAATACCTATAAAATTTACATTTCTGTAACCAGCAGCTCATATCCGAGATTTATATATTTAAGAGCATCGCGTAGGATACAAAGAAAAAAAGATGACATGTCATCAAAATCCGGGCCCTGTTGATGACATTTCGGTTGAATATACTGTCTGCATCTTCAACCCAGAAGATTTGCATTTTCCCTAATAAACTCGCTGGGAAAACGAGCCATTAATTGGGACGATCCCCGTAATACTGCGAGTCGTGGAAGGCGATGAAACGGGAACCCGGGGTATGTCACTGGGGACATGGTCCTACATGTTGGGGGTTGGACGCAAGGCTGACGGCCTTGCTCTGTAAAAAGAATATAGTCACGAGAGCCAAAGAAATGAAAGCCGGATGTTCTATTTTCCAGGAACTCACAAATCTGGCAGAATCTTCTAAGGAAGGCTGTTGTCCAGAAAGGGCTGTTTTGCCAGTGATGATGAATTGGGACGAAAATATTCAATTTGACCGCGAGGAGACAGGTTATGATGTTGAATGTGTTCACCAAGTTCGCGGTCCTCGTGATGCCATGGTTTCCAGTTGTGACTGACCGCTCTTATGTTCCAGGCTGGTGACCTCTACTGCTGACGGACTGGAGAGCATGCTGCGCCTGCGCCTGCGCCGGCCATGTTACTGCCATTTGGTGTCAATACTCCTGGTAGTCAGTATCACAACAGGTAATCCAGGTCAGCGGGGCTGAGTGCTAGAGTCTTGGCGGTCAAGGTCATCACATCTGCACCCGCCCCTGCCTCTACTCTGTCTCCTCCCTCAAGAGTCCCATGCACGATGGGTCAGTTTGTGCAACATTCGTTTTGCACAATCTCCTTATTGCAACTCGGTGCAGTCACTCTGGGCTAATCGTATTCGCTGAGTTGTCAGTGAACATGAGTGAACCAGTGCGTTTAACGTGCGTCTACGCACTTTGGCGAAAGGAGGCGGGACGGGAGAGAAGACACGGAAGAATTTGTCCGCGGTCTGTTCAGTTTCCTTCAGTTTAGTTACTGACTTGTCGTAGCTCTCACTTTACTAGTTTGTTTTTATGTGAATCGCTTTTGATCCTCCAGAGAGTAGGTGAACTATGAACTTCAACAAATCCCATCCAGAACATCCAGAACTCTTGTATCAGTCGGTATAGCGAGGGCCTACGGGCAGGACGACCGAGGGGTCAAGAACTTTCCCTTCTCCAAATCGTCCAGAGCGGCTCTANAGGGCCTACTGAGGGGTCGGAGTTCGAGTCCAGGTAGGGTCAAGAACTTTCCCTTCTCCAAATCGTCCAGAGCGGCTCTGGGGTTCATCCAACCTCCTATCCAGTGGGTACCGGGGGCTCTTTCCCCGGGGCGTGAAGCTGACCACTCACCTCCAACTAGTGCCGAGGTCAAGAAAATGTGGAAATCAACTCCCCCATACAACTTCATGGCGTAGTGGTTAAATTCGTTGAGCACAGGGACAACTTTACCTTTTTACCGTTACTCTTGTATCAGTAACTGTTGACACCGTCGCGACTGGGGACGAGGCTGAGCATGTTTGTGCAAGAGTACAACGTTGTATGATACACTGCTTGTTATGTAAAAATATCGAACACGGTTTGATTTTACGCAACAGTTTCACAACAAATCACTTAACTGTACTCGTTAAAATGGTTGATCATGTATGGGGCCCTTCATACTCTACCTATAGCGAGGAGAGTAGCCTTACATGTCAGCTGACTGTATGTATATATTATTGACACTGTAAACATCGTTAAATAACGTTCAAACCAACCTACAGATCAGTATTTATTTTTGGTTTTGTTTTTCCATCCACCATGTAACATTATTAGGATTTGAAATTAAATCTTTATTTTTTTTTTTCAAATTCGTCACTGCGCTACATGTTTCGGCTTACTCGGCCATCGTCAGGTGCGTTGAAACTCGGGGGAATTGCTGTGCCTTCAGTGCTACTGCGATCCATGTTTTCGTGTTTACAGTGTTGCAGCTGCACTAGGCCCTGGGGTTTATTATTATTTATTATTATTATTGGAGGGGGTGGGTTTCCCCATGCACTTAGACCAGTTATTGGTTCATTGTGCGTCCCCCTTTAATTTCTACTGTGTGTATCAGACCCGTTGGGCCAACGAGGTCGGCCCTCGGTACCTTCATACTTCCCCCATCTATCAGAGGCATTGGAAACTACTTGGGCGGGAAAGTTTTTACCTAATAATTTTGCTCAGAGGTCTCCTAGAGACATGAGGTTTTTTTACGTGCCGTAAATCTACGACACGGGACCCACGGCTTAAAGTCCCTCCCGGAGGACTTGTTCCCTGAATTTTTCCGCCCTTAAAAATTCCACGACCTCCGCCGGGTTTGAACCCGCATACCTTGAGTCATGAGGTGGGAACGTCACCCCTAGACTACGGAGGCCGCTAGGCCCTGGGGTTTACTCAGCCTCTAACAGAAATGAGTATCAGGAATTAATTAAATAATTTTCCTGGGGAGTAAAGCGTGGCCGGCGCGTAAGGCTGACAACCTTACCGCCATCTTTGAGCTGATTGTCTATCTAGTGTGGGACTCCCAACGTATCACAACCCTATGGGCCTTCACGGCCTGGTACAGGGATAGCTTTACTTTTTTTCTTTACTAATTGACGTCAACGTAGTTCGTGTAGCAACATCCACACCACACACTAGATAGACAGTAGGTAAAAGGTAAGATAAAGCTATCCTTGTAACAGGCCATGGAGGCCCATGGGGTTGTGAGACGTCGAGGCTCCCACATTTTCTAGACAAACTTGTCACCATTACGCCCAGGTCGCCATTTACCCCCAGGAAGATTCCTGGTACTCATTTCTGTTAGAGGCTAAGTCGACCCCAGGCCCATGCCGCTGCTGGAAGGATTAAACCAAATGAGAAATGCAATGACATCGGAAATCGAACCCACGACCTTCCGGTTTGTATCATAGTGCATCACTAGATGACAGGCATACCAAAAGTAAGTACACATTTAACCGTATTAAGAGTATACAACTTTAAAGTATTCCATGAAAAGAAACCAATCATTATACATTGCAGAGTCAATACGTATGACAGAAAGAGAAACCACGTTGGCTTCGTTTAGAAACACTGTAAACACGAAAACACGGATCACAGTAACGCGAAAAGCACAGCGGTTCCCCCCGAATTTCGACTCATTTGATGATGACCGAGTAGGCCGAAACATGTAGCGCAGTGACGAATTTGAAAAAAGATTTAATTTCAAATTTTGATATTGTTGCATGGTGGACTTTAGACAACTGACAATAATTTCTAACAGCAACGGAAACATGGTGGTGGCACTATGCTACAAGGCGGAAGGTCGCGGGTCGATTATCGATGAGGTCATTGGATTTTTAAATTGACCTAAACCTTCCAGCCGCACTATGGCACTGGGGTCTACTCAGCCTCTTAACAGAAATGAGTACCAGGAATCTTCCTGGAGGTTAAAGGGCGGCCGGCTCGTAAGGCTGACAACTTCACCGATTGTCTAGAAGATGTAGGAAAATCTCGACTTTTCAAAATCCTGTTGCTCTCCACGGCCTGTTACAAGTATAGATAAGATAGGTTTACCTTTTAACTCACTGCAACAGGATATACCGATCTATAGTTGGACAGGCCAAAAGCAGGGCCACTAACTCGAACCGCCGCTTCCTGTGACGAACTGAGAGCTCGGCCTGTGCCCGCTTTGTTTGGCGGCAGCCCTGTTCTCAGTAGCACAGCACGTAAATCAGGTCAGGGTACGTAAGCTGAGTGCTGGTTCCAATACCGCCGTTACAGAACAGAGGATTGTAACGGAATTTTACAAGTGCCTCGCGACTTACCAGAAATGAAATTCACGCGCTTTTTTGTGTGCCCCGGATTACTCTCTGTTGCACTGTGGTGGCTGGATATAATCTCTCAACAGTGTTATATACCGTAAACCCTCGCTAATTCGATTACAATTAATCCGAATACCGCATAATCCGGATCTAAATATGAAAAATTCTGTTCACACTTAAGTACATACTTTAAAAGGCACATGGGATTTAGGAGCAAGAGGACTTTAAGACTGTGTTGAAAGCAGTTGGAGAGACTGAAACCACGCAAGAAAATATCAAAGATTGGCTTCAGCTGGATGAAGGAGACCTAGGATTTCATCTTCTATAAGAGGAAGGAATTACTGCAGGGGCATATTTCATTTGTTTTTATCAGCACTACCTACGATATTATTTTTTTTCATTTATTTGTTTTCTTGGTTTTTTTTTTGTCTTTTTTGTCTTTTATGGCATCTTTTGGTTCAGTAATCAATCCGGATTGGCGAGGTTATGCTATACACTTTATAGTTAAAGCTGAGGGAGCCTCAGCTCCAATAATATTTGTTAGCTCGACTGCAAGTGTAACTTAACACATGTATCAGACCACAGAAAGACTGTTACTTTATACTGGTGCGAGGTTTAAACCTTGTGTAGAATTTTTAAAGAACTTTTCGCATTACTGAGGAACAAACTGGCTCGTGTAAAACTGAAGCGGTTTACATAATTACAAGTTTTCGCCTGGGCATGAAGAAAAATCTTTACAACATCATATTTTTAAAAATAAAATATATTTATTTATGAGTTATCGATGAGGTCGTGGGTTGGAGGGCAGTTTTATTTCGATACAACAGTGAACATTATTACTGGGTGAGCTATCGCCGCCGGTCTTGGTATTAATCATCCCCGAGAGATGGCAGCAGCAGTCTGTACACACACACGCGCGCGCGCGCGCGCGTTCGTTTGCAGCGTATACCATTCGTGTCTATATAAGCGTAGGCCGTGGGTTACTAATTTACAACGCTGTGAATATTTAGGTTATATAGCATCTAAAGGTACAGTGACTGAAGAATAGCAAAGGATATGGAAGGAAACGCTAAAGGTAAAGGCGGAATTGTCCCTGTGTCTAATTAAGCACCAAGCCATGAAATACGTATGGGGGAGCGAAGGTGTAGTGCCACCATTTTAACCTCATCTTCACGCCCCGATCGCTTTACCCCTGGGGAAAGAGCACCCAGTATCCATTGGATACGAGGCTGGGTGGGCCCCATAATCAGTCTGGACGCTGTGCGGTAGAGAAAAGTCTCCTGACCCTGCTGAGAATTGAACCCCAACCATCCAGTCCATAGCCCATCGCTGTACCGACTGAGCTAGTCCGCCTCTGGAAAGAGGCTGTTGTGATATTATCAAGATACTATCTAGAATTTCTTGGAGAAACTGAGGAAATACACAGTTAAGTGTCAGAATAATCTGTGTCCCGACTGAGATTCGAACCGAGCGTCTATTGAATTCGAGTCTAGAGCCATATTGCTATGCCAGCTCGCTTGATGCATGTAGTTTATGGTCGTAATGTTGTACAGGGAGGATTTTTACTTTGTTGAGCGGTTCCACGACTCTGCGCATCACGACGACCGGTGCACCGCTGGCTGCAAGGTGCATGCGAATTTTGCCGATGAATCAGCATGCCTGACGGCCGATAACTTTCGGAATGAAATAGTTACAATTTACAGATCACAGAATATGTTGAAAATGTTGTCCCCCTACACATAGATATCTTTCGCTATTAACTGTATCTTTAAAAAACAGGTACAGCAATCCTTGCACTTACAGCACACCAGGCACCAACTTTCGCTGAATGGTGCCGGACTTCTCGGGTTAGATGTGGATTCTGTTAACTCCAGTAGCGATTATTTAGAGTGTTTATGTATCCCTGCAAGTGAAACCACGGTTCATCAGAAAGAAATGTCAGTTGCAGATTGATCTTACCTTCGACGACCGATTGAATGCACCAACAAAAATGAACCCTGCTAGCTGGATCGCGCTGCTGCAAGGCCTGCGTGGATTATTGTTGTTTCATAAGGTCTAAGCTTTAGCAGTTGTGTTGCCCTTCTTGCAGTAGACTTTGACACTCCAGTCTATTGAGCTAGACATTTCAGTGATTTTCTAGGTGTGTATGATCAAGTCTGGCACCTATGTCTTCTTACTTCACTTCAGTAAGCACTCGGAGCTTATGTTTTTGTTTCTTGTCTATTAAGACTCCCGTTCTAAGTTAATTCACCAAATTGTAAATTGTTTACCTGGAATTCTTTCATCATGAAATTTACATAGAAATTTTCGCCGTTGCTTTTTAGCAGATTCACATTTCACATAGATGTCATACAGAAATACACGTTGCTCTAAAGTATACCACACCATGACGTACCACACTGCTCACTAACTGTAACTGAGAAGAAATGGCTAATGGAGCTGATAACTGCTGCCTACTGCTGACAAATCTAAAACAACCCCCCACGCATGAACCGCACTGCTCGCAGTGAAACATAATGCCGTCAAGCGGCTCACAATTTAATTACCTCCCTCCATTCCAATGGTTATCAGCCATCAGGCATGCTGATTCATCGGCAGAATTCGTATGCACCTCGCGGCAAGCAGTGTGCCGGTCGCCGAGAAGCTCAAAGCCATAACCCAGCAAACAAAGTCAAACTCTCTGTAATTTGCCATTACCAGGTAAAGCTAAGAGATAAAGTCATCCCTGGCTTTCATTCATTAAGCACCACGCCATGAAGATGTATGGGGAAGTAGAGCTATGGCTCTAACATTCTTGACCTGTTTACTACGTGTATATAGAGATGAGTTGTCAGCTTTACGGTCCTGGNTCCCCCCCCCCCCGGGGTGTAGGAGGCTGGGTGGCCTCAGAGCCGGTCTGGATGTTGTGGAGAAAAGAAAATGTATTTTCTCCATCGGGAATCGAACCGACTGAGTTAGCCGGGCTCTCTCTTTGCCATTACCAGTATCACGTTCTTAGGCACTCTGTTTGAAAATTGCGACAGGAGGAGAAGGGGTTGTGTGTTGACAGAGATAACACTGTGAGCAAGTTTTAATTGGGCGTTCCATTGGAAGCACACAGGACTCACTTTGTGTCCCTATGTCTGATGTGTCTGTTGTCGTCTTGTTTCTAAAGAAAAGCGAAATTTCAGCCATTATACAGTTCTCTAGAAGTCCTTGTGCAACGGCCGTTACGAATTCAGAAGGATATCTCATCGTTTCTTATACGAATCTTATATAAGATTCATTATTAATAACTTCCCTTGTTTTCTTCGTATTTCTTTCCAGTGCTACGTGTCGTGGAGATGATTCTCCCACAAGCAACGCGCATATAATAAATCGTTAACCTATCCTGTATGTAGATATCGATATAAAAATATCATCAGTACTCACAGAATATACACGATACACTTAAGCTCTTTCGTGGCGTGTTACATAACTTATATCCGTGCCACTTGTCTGGGGTGGGGGCACGCGGTGGCGTAGTTGGCTGAGTCACTATGCTACAAGCCGATGAATTTATTGGATTCTTCAATTGACCTAATGCAGCCGCACTATGGCCCTGGGTTCGACTCAGTCTCTAACAGAAATGAGTACCAGGAATCGTCCTGGGTGTAAAAGGCGGCCGATGCGTAAGGTTGACAACCTCACCGTCATCTGTGAGCAGATTGTCTAGAAAATGTGGGAGCTTCGACGTCTCACAACCGTATGGGCCTCCACGGCCTGTTACAGGGATAGATTTTTTTATCCTGCAACATACTGACGCCTGGCAGTTTTGTTGCTGTGGTAACCCGCAGTTGCGTGTTGCCAGGGATACATCTGACACAGACGGATAACAGTCGCACACAGGTAGTAAGCGCCCTCCTGGTGAGTGAAGTGTCGAACTTCAGTCGCACACAGGTAGTAAGCGCCCTCCTGGTGAGTGAAGTGTCGAACTTCAGTCGCACACAGGTAGTAAGCGCCCTCCTGGTGAGTGAAGTGTCGGACTTAGTTCCAACTGGCCGTCTTGTGGCCTGGCAAGTTGGCCCAGGCCGTCACGATCCTGACTTCGAATATCGGTCTTGATGCCGGTTGTACGTTGAGTTTCCGTGTAGTTTCTCAGGCAGTCCATTCAAATGCCGAGACAGTGTCCTAAAATACACAACGGCAAATTTCGTCCTCAGTTATTTCACGTTCGCCGAGTACTGCCATCCGTTTATACCCCAGGGCTCAAAATAACGCCTATAGTTGATACAGAGTCTTCAATAAGTAACATAAGGCCCAATTCAATGAAAAGCTGAGAACAGCTTCGCGGATTGTCATGATATTTGATAATGGAGAATTTTGCGGAGAATTATCGATCCATTTCGATTTGTGTTCGAGATCTCTGTAGGAAGGTGTGTATGCGCGTCTCCGCATGTCTGTTTCTCGCAGAAAATCTTGTCAAAGGAAAGTTTTAAAGAAAAACGAAACATGAGTGTTATACACTCTCGGCATGGCACTTACAGTTCCTTAGATAATTAAACAAAGTGATGTTGGAACTTTTATTAACTTTAACACTCAACATTCAACCCTGGCTTCCAGAACAGGGTGGTGATTGGAGAAAAACGAAGCAGACTCTTAATTGGGCCCTGACTGCGTTAAAATCAGTTTTCTTGTATTCTTGTAATGAAGTGCCCCATTACGATATGACTTTAAGTTAAATAATTGATGTATATTTAAATTTCCCTCTCCCTATACTTCTTCATGGCGTGGTGCTTAATGAATTAACCACGGGGGACTACTTTGCCTTTACCGTTTAAAGTGTGTAATACTGGATACTTATTCGTTCAGTTCCCTTTATAGTTCTGCTTTCTCTCCAGCTTGCTTATTATAACGTCGGATTTTTATGCATTAAAGACTGAAAAAATATGCACCGATCTATATTGTAATATTCAGAAAAAAATCTCAAAATTAAAATAAAAATACTTGCATAATCGACATGCTGAGTTGCTGATATATCACCCCAAGTCGCTCTTCCTCCCTGCTATTATTTCCCTTGCAGTGTGTCCCGGGGTTTTCTTATGTATTTTCTGGGATAAAGTTGAGACGCTTCTCTGTCCGGATAAGTTTTAAATGGAGAAGTACTCACCAATATCCACAGATGTCAGGACGGATATAGTTGCGGAATGTTGCACTGTTTTACGCACACAGGCAGGCTTCATTTCAGTTGCATTAGCATTGAAGGCATACCAAATGTTTACACTTGTTTACTGACTCTGGCAGAGTCTTCAGGTACGCCACTAGATATTTCTGCACACTTTTGCTGCCAAATGCTTTCCTAGTTTGCTGGATACATAGTTCTCGAGTCGTTTATGCCTCTGCCCTGACTCTAGGGCGATCAGTAAAAGTAACGTTAAAGCGGTTCAGGGTAAGTAAGCAAACTTTGGCCGTACCAGAGCTCAGGCGGTTAGTCGCCGGCTTCTTGTCGCGACGGCCCGGGTTCGATCCCAGGTCATGGGGGATTTGTGGTGGACAAAGTGGCACTGGATCAGGTTTCCTGCGAATACTTCGATTTCCTCTAGGAGCCGGGATAGCGCAGTAGGTCTAGCGACTAGCTACGGGCTGGACCGAGGGGTTAGTTTCCTCGCTCAGCTATGCAATATGCAATGCGTCAATGAATTGCGTACACAATTTGGATTTTGAAGCGCTTGAGTCAAAATAACGTTTTAGCCGACACAACGGCATAAAGCGAAGAAACGGTCCGCTATATGTTAACAACATCATATCGAAGCAGCGTAATTCAGAGATCAACCGTTAATTCAAAAAGCTTTTTCCATTATTCGTTCTCGATTTTCCACTCAGCATGAACAAGCGTGGAAGTGTAACCGTTAATCATTTGCCAGAGATGTGTTGACTACAGAGGTGCTAAATCGAATCCATCCATCCCTCCACTGGGAGGCCTGAAGGAAGCGTAAAAGATACTCCGATATGAACAGTCGCAAGCACGCTGTCATAATAATGAAGAGACAGTTGTATTACGCAAAAATATCGCACTTTTATTTTTATTAATCGGGCGGGACAATGTAATTACAAGGGTAAATACAGTATTCACTGTTAGGACGGATGGGTCCCATGCAACGAACTTAGAAAACGTATAATTTCTATTGTTCTGATATTACAGGTAGCCCAATACCATCTTCGTCTGAGTGGACAGAAAGTTATGAAGATGACTGGGATGTGACAGGAGGACGGTCAGGTTGGTATACTGTGCTCAGCAATGGCTCAGTTCCAGCCGTATTGATGCCCCGGAATCACAGCCATGATCTGCCACCCACACCTAGTCCAGAGCAAATCCGGCAGATGGAAGAGGACACACATCGGCAGTTTGAACTTCTCAAAGTGAGTGCCCAAACTTCCAAGATGGAACTGTTCTTCCAGTTAGTGTAAATAAGGTCCAGATTATGTATTGTACCAGCACTGTATGGTGCGTAGGAGGTTGTGAAGTGGACATTTGCTTTGGTTACATTCTGTTTAAAATAATAGTTTGCTGTGTATGTTTCAGATGTATAAAGACTTGACTTTAAAAGGCATTATAATTAAGTTTATTGATTATATGAAATGAGAAGTTCTCATGGAGTTGAGTCAGTGAGCAGTGCTCTGATATGCCTGCTTCTTGTTGGCCATTTATCTGCCTTACTCTTTGACCATGAAAATGGAGGCACTGGGTTAGTTCAGAAATGTCAGTGAACTTCATTGAATTTCATAGCATTACCTCCCAGAAGATAGTATTGATCATAGTTGTTGCAGTGAGAACATCAAATCCAACTCATATATACTAAGTTAATTCAATGCTGTGGGTCCCGTGTCATAGATTTATGGCAGGTAAAAGATCCTCATGTCTCTAGGAGACCTCTGAGCAAAATTAGGCAACAAGTTTCCTGCCCAAGTACTTTCCAATGCCTCTGGTAGATGGGGGAAATATCAGGTACCGAGGGCCGACCTCGTTGGCTGAACGGGGCTGATAGCACGCACCAGTACCAGTAGGGTATGGCGACAGTAGAAATTAAAAAGGGGGACGCACAATGGACCAATAACTGGTCTAAGTGCATGGGGAAACCCACCCCCTCTAATAATGAATGAATGAAGTTAATTTAATGGAACACATTGTTTCAACAGCAGAGAGGACATATTTATAAAATGTTGTAAGGTGGAAGTAAAAGTAAAATTAAATATTTTGGTTTTGGTACCAGATCTTTCACACCCCTGTACAAAAGGATATGTGAGAACAGAAATTGTCAAAGGGAAATAAATGTAAATTTCTTGAAGCAGGTTTAGTAAAGATGATGTAATACGAGTATAATTTATTTTACAAAATCCCACTACAGTCTGCTTCATAATTTCAGGAAGTTCATAAATATTTGTTCGTACATATGCGGGGTTGGCGGCACGAAGCCACTTTTATTTGTGAAGAATTTGTTAAATTTTTGCTGGTTGATTCTAGCACTTAGAAAGAAAGCTTATTGTTATATAGAGCATATGGAATGCATAAGAAAATGTGACAAACTAGAATATCATCCTGATATTGCCTCATAATGCACATACATAAAAAAACGATATTTTTGATAAATTTAGCAATAGCGGAATATATTTTCAGTTTTCCTCCATACCCTATTAGTGGCATTAGATAATTTGTTTGGGTTTCTTTTTCATATCTTAGAAATGGTTCTATTGTTTTATGGTATCATTGTCATGATCCCATTGTTGTAATGGCCTCATTTTCACAGTCATGTTGCTCTTACAATCCAGTTGTTGACATGATCCCATTGCCCTCATGGAGTTCCTAATGGCTCTTCGGTTTTAGTGAGTGTAACAGCATGACACAGGATTTATACTGAGCCTCATGAAGCAGTAAAGGGTGAACATTTTGTTCTGGCCTTGAACTTCAAGAAGTGCAGAGAGAGAGAGAGAGATATATTTTGTGTTTGTATTTGTGTTTTGCCTGTGCACAGTCATCTTCTGACTGGAAAGTTCTGTTAACACTGTTTTCCTTCATTCTCTGACAATTTCAGATCAACTACACGCGGCTGTTGGATGAGCTAGATACTGAGTTAAAAGAAGATCTGAGAAGTGGCAGACATCTACCAAGGATTGTGGACAAAGCTTTGAGATTATTCAACTTGAAACAAGTGGTACAAGAAGTGGAAACTAGTGTCATGTCTAAAGTTTCTTGCACGGCATGCAAAGCTGGTAATTATACTCTTGTGCACAATGGAAGGCTAGTTACAGGGCAGAAGAGACCATTTTTAATGGACTCCTTGGAGCACAATCCTTACTCAGAAGCTGGCAGTCACTCAGCTGGTCAAGTATGTTCCTTTCTTTTATAGAACCCAGAGGTTCACAATATCCCAACACTGAGCCAGTTGAATCCAGTCTATACTCCCACATACTGTTCTGTAAGATCCATTTTAATACTGATTTCACACCTGTACCAGTATCTCCTCATTGTCTCTTCCCTTCAGGTTTATTGACCAAAATTTTGTGTGAATTTCTCATCTGCCATGATGTTACACATCCTGCTCATTTCACTGATATTTAGTGAAGATTACAAATCATGAAGCTCTTGATTATGCAGTCTTCTCCTGTCTCCTGTTATATCCTCTCTTTAAGGTCGAAATATTCTCATCAGCACCCTGTTCTCAAACCCTCAATCTACATTCTTCTGTACACCCACACCCACATGCACATACTTGATAGTTTCATTTGGGTTTCAAGCTCTGTTTAATGCAGACCAACATGAATCAAAGTGAAACTGGAAGTGAGTAATACATAGCTCAGACCCTGGATAGCTCATTCATTACAGTGACTGACCATGGGCTGGGTGACCAAATTTCAGTTGCTGACAGGGGTGAGACATCTTTGCAATTACCAGACTGGCTCAGGAGACCACACAACCTCCTCTTTCTCCAAAGGGTGAATCTGACTATTTACCTTATAAGTTATAAGGTCAAGCTATCCCTGTAACAGGCTATTGAGACCTGTAGAGTTGTGAGACATTGAAGCTTCCACATCTTCTGGACAATCAGCTCTCAGATGGCAGTGAGGTTGTCAGCCTTAAACCATAACCTTCCAGTCTGCAGCATAGTTCCTCAACCAACTACACTATTGCATGCCCCTCCTCTATAATAGTGCTATGATTAATATTGTGTGGAACCATACCTCTGATCCCCCATACACCTTTATAATGTGAGACCTGATTAAGCCAAGAAACATCTTTACCTTTTATCTTTAATGTAGGATCTGAATTCCAAATTATATCAGATGTCTACACTCATGTAGACAACAGACCACCAATTATTTGTCATTTTGTACATTCCATTCACATTATGTGTAGACAAGTCTTAGTTTGTTGCTTTTTTAACTTGGACTTGCCTGTAAGTTTTCTTTGTCATTACCTTGGCCTGCAAACCTACTCAGATACTGGTGTGTGAGTGCTTTCAGTAATGGCACAGAGGTTCTTGGTGAATGAGAAAAAGTGAAATGTCTCCCACCTGACTACAAAAATGGACATAATTCTGTTTCAGGTGTTGGTCTCCTTCAGCACTACATACGTGTGGGGAAGACGAGAGATGATATCGTGAAGATAACATACCAGTTCTGTGTTAGCCTCAACATCCAGCCAGCACGAGTGTGCGAGGGGATAACTGAATTGTTTGGGGTATGTTTTAAGAAGTGCATATCTTACTGACGATAATGGTAGCTTAGCAAGGGAGAAGAACGTGAAGATGTTTCACAAACTTTTAAATTTGAAAAAGAAGAGATTCTTTGTAAAGTGTGGTATTTTGAGTTGTAATGCCATATAGTTGGAGAGATCCCAACATTTGAGAGGAGCTTACCACCCCCATGTTTGCTTATTCTTCAACACTGAAGATGGATGGGACATACTCCTCTGAAAAGTCGGTTGGCTTGCACCTGAATACATAGAGTATTACAAAATTCTGCACCAATTCAATCCAATTTCCTGCTGGGCCTGGAGACTTTCCTTATTGTGACACTTTGACCTTCAGCATCTTTACCTTGGCATTTCTGAACAAATTGTGCCGATGGCTCTCAGTCCTTGTCTTGCATATTTCAAGGAGTACACAATTAATTATATTGCCTTAAAAACAGGTGGCGCCAGTCACGGTAACTGAGTGGTCCAAGGCATGTACTGTCATGGGTTTGAATCCTACACACAAGGCATTAGATGTTTGGTGTGTGTATGTGTTTATTTTGTGATTTTGTTGTCCTGTGTTTAGGTAGGGGCCTTGCGACGAGCTGATCACCCGTCCAAGGAGTCCTAGTGTCTGTAAAATTGATAACTGAAACTGAGAAATGAGCCCTATGCTCCAAAGTGGAAGCAAGAAGAGAGAAAAGCAGGTGGCACATAAAGCCTAAAAATGTCTTAATTTTGCTTCTTAATTCTACACATTTGGACAAAATGACCAACTGAGAGGGACTGAACACCAAACTACTTGGCAGGAAATGTGTTAATATTATCCTCCCATTTCCTTCTAACAAAATTGTGGTCATATTTCTTGTGTCCCCTGTATATATTGTGGCATGTCTGCTGAAAGCCAGCAGAGAGAACCATTGCTAGGGAACAGCATGGTAACACCACATGACATGGTGTCTTCTATGCAATCTGTGCCTTGTTTGAATAGCAACAGGTATGCACACAACAACAGAGGAACTGTTGGAAGGGGTGTTCTTTGTGGGTCCATTCATAGGCTGCATTTGAAGAATCGAAACACAAAACAGTCAGTAAAGGGTCGCGAGTCTGCAGTTAGCAGTTGCGAGACATACCCATTGGAGGTCGTTGCAGGCAGTCACCCCTGGCAGAGATGTGGGAGATGGAGGAGTCCCCATTGTTGTAAGACACTGCATAGCAACACCAAGTCTAGTTGTGAGGTAGGCACCAGCCAGCAAGGACAGAAGCCGCTGAGCACGAAAGCCGAAGAATCTATGGCATTGGAAGCTATTACCAGACAACCGATGAAGACCCAGCAGACTGAAAGGACTTAGTATGTGCTGTAGTGAATTGGAGAGCATGTGAAATAGTGATAGTGCTATAGTTAATTGTACTGTAGTTACAAGTTTTAAGCATCCAGTTAATCTGATTAATAATTAAACCCAGTCTAAAGTCACTCAGTCATGTGACAATATATTTTATTTCTCTTTTGTCATTTATTAATGATGGAAGATACAAATTTATATATATTACCGAGGAGGCTGGTATGGCAGTTGTGCTCTAGATCAGTGGTTCTCAATCATTATGAGACTGCAGTTGGTAGATTCTTTTTTTATAAGACAAGGGCCCAGTATAATTAATGCCAGGGCCAGATACTGGGGCCGCGGCCCGGCGGTTGAGGAACACTGCTCTAGATTCATATTTGGGAGGTACTCAGTCCTTTCAGGCAAATTCTGGGATAGTATGTAGGCGAGTCAAATGAAAAACTAAATATTTTTTGAGTATTATTTATTGTGCACAAGTGGTACAAAGCTGTATCACTTTTCAGCATAATCTCCCCCACACTCAATGCAAGTCCTCCAGCGCTTACAAAGTGCATGAATTCCCTTAGAAAAAAATTCTTTTGGTAGTCCACGCAACCACTCATGCACCGCGTGGCGTACCTCTAATGTTTGAACTTGCTGCAATTTCATTCAATGTCACTCAGATGTTTTCCCTCACTATGGCTTCAACTGCTGCGGTGTTCTCTGGAATCACAACTCGATGTGCCTGACCCAGATGAGGAGCATCTTCCACTGAAGTCACACCAGTTGCAAACTTCCTACTCGATTCGTACACTTGCTGATGTAATAAACATGCATCACCATACTGAAACTTCATTCTTCAATAAATTTCAATAGGTTGCACACTTTCACTACACAAAAACCGAATAACAGAACACTCTTGTTGCCTGGTGCAAGTCTCAAGTGGGGCAGCCATCTTATACTGGTGCTCTGACGGTGTTCGTGCATCTGTACTATGCTGCAACCTACAGGCCATTCTGCACGCTGTTTGTAGCACTCTTACCAACTTACAGCATAATGGTGTGAAATTTCGATTTTTTATTACAAATTTAAGGTTTTCATTTGACTCACCCTCGTAGTACCTCAACTAAGCCATGACTACTTCCTACCAAATGCATTCCATTTCATCAACATGCTGCACCATGGCAGATTTTTTGATACAGAGCAATGTAACTATGAGATGTGACTTTGAAATAACACAGTTTGGGGTTATAATAGCAACAGTTTGTTGAACAGTAGCACATAGCTTANGGTTCTCAATCATTATGAGACTGCAGTTGGTAGATTCTTTTTTTATAAGACAAGGGCCCAGTATAATTAATGCCAGGGCCAGATACTGGGGCCGCGGCCCGGCGGTTGAGGAACACTGCTCTAGATTCATATTTGGGAGGTACTCAGTCCTTTCAGGCAAATTCTGGGATAGTATGTAGGCGAGTCAAATGAAAAACTAAATATTTTTTGAGTATTATTTATTGTGCACAAGTGGTACAAAGCTGTATCACTTTTCAGCATAATCTCCCCCACACTCAATGCAAGTCCTCCAGCGCTTACAAAGTGCATGAATTCCCTTAGAAAAAAATTCTTTTGGTAGTCCACGCAACCACTCATGCACCGCGTGGCGTACCTCTAATGTTTGAACTTGCTGCAATTTCATTCAATGTCACTCAGATGTTTTCCCTCACTATGGCTTCAACTGCTGCGGTGTTCTCTGGAATCACAACTCGATGTGCCTGACCCAGATGAGGAGCATCTTCCACTGAAGTCACACCAGTTGCAAACTTCCTACTCGATTCGTACACTTGCTGATGTAATAAACATGCATCACCATACTGAAACTTCATTCTTCAATAAATTTCAATAGGTTGCACACTTTCACTACACAAAAACCGAATAACAGAACACTCTTGTTGCCTGGTGCAAGTCTCAAGTGGGGCAGCCATCTTATACTGGTGCTCTGACGGTGTTCGTGCATCTGTACTATGCTGCAACCTACAGGCCATTCTGCACGCTGTTTGTAGCACTCTTACCAACTTACAGCATAATGGTGTGAAATTTCGATTTTTTATTACAAATTTAAGGTTTTCATTTGACTCACCCTCGTAGTACCTCAACTAAGCCATGACTACTTCCTACCAAATGCATTCCATTTCATCAACATGCTGCACCATGGCAGATTTTTTGATACAGAGCAATGTAACTATGAGATGTGACTTTGAAATAACACAGTTTGGGGTTATAATAGCAACAGTTTGTTGAACAGTAGCACATAGCTTAAACATAAGTTATGTGGTAGGTCAGAAACAAGTGAGCAGTCCTTGTTTGAATGTATTGTGACATCTAGAATATGTTACTGGTTGTGCATTTATTATGAATATTGTGAATAGACAAGAAATTGTGTTATATTCACTGATGGTAGCTGAGAACAGGCGGTAGGTTGTATAGTTCCTATGCTCCAACTTTCCTATCCATGTTCCCAAAAGTGATAGATGAGGCTTGGAGAATCTGTTGGATTTAGGTTTTCTTCCTGTTGCCACTGGCCTAAATGTCCAAATGGTGGTGAGCTGTAAACTTTTCAGCCAGGGGTTGTTGGTGGTTACATATCCAAAGTAACAAATATTGACAGTGGCTGGAAGCATTAGTCTGGGCTTTTCTTTCTGTTTCAATCTGCCAACCCACAGCAGTTCACGGCAAGTGATGGAACTGGTGAGATAAAATAATAAGCCATGGATCGAAGCATGAATAGGTCAAGCAGTAGGGATATATATGAAGTGGGGGGGGGGCTCCTACTTCACTTTATATGATGCCTGTTGTGCCTCAGTTGCGGGGTTATGTCTCCTTACTTAGGGAACAACTGGCAATGTAAAATGATTAATTTGTGGGACATTATTCATCATCTTAATTTGTATTTGAGACAGCATTTCAAGGACTGGACTCTTTCCACCTTCAGGTAAGAAACCTGCTCTGTTTGTCCAAATTGATGGAGTTGGTCCCTATATCTGAACACAGGGAAACAGGGAATAGCTGTTTTGATTGGGCCCAACAGAGTAGATCTTTTACCTTAGGAAACAGGGTCCAGTGTCCAAATCATCATCTCAGATTACAATTAGGATGATGGATAATTCCTAGAATAAATGATCATCACATTAATATAATACTTTTAGATGCCATATAGTTTAGATACTGATAATGTCATACAAAAATGCACAAAAAATTGGCCACGTTACTTGTGACAGCATTGTGAGGAAGCGTTAGCCATATACTCCTGTTACATAATCCTGCAACCTTGCTGCTCAGAGCACAGGAACATGGCTTTGTTATTAAAGGGTTACCCATATAATCAGAAATATTCTACTTCAAGTACTGCACCATGTAATCTTGTTCACAAAATCATGGTCATACATGTATTATGGTAGAAATTCTGGAACAGTGAACCATATATCCTGTAGTTTTTCTGGGACGTTGTCTTATTGTAATTGTAATATATGGAAATAGCATTGTGTGTCTGTTACTATTTCATTGATCCTCTGTGTCATTCTGTTGTGTGTGGCTATTCAAACACATACAGCATTTCCTTCAGTTAGACATAAATTAAATATTAATGGGTTCTACAGCAGCACATCATGGTTGGAGACTTTGTTATGTTGT